CCCTTGGCCAGTCTCGATGACTGGGGGGAATCCCCCCTCCTGGATTGCTATGCTCCACTCCCCAGCTGGCATAGCCAGTCAGGTGCTGCACTGGGGCTCTCAGGGGGGTGCACCCCCTACGCATTGCCACTGAGTGTAGTGCCTCTGCATGTCTGGCCAGGATGCATGTCAGCATTTACATGGCTACCATGCATGCATGGGTAGATGACAACTTTTGAGGCTGCTGTGGCATATGTTGATATAGGTCAGTGCTTCTCAACTTTATTATCATGACTCAAGCACTTGTCACTAGACTCTAGGCACCCGCTGGAAAATGCCACCTCTTGTTTTTTTTGTTACTACAAAAAATACTAGGGCAATCCCTCTGTTGTAGAAGACTCCAAAAGCCCACAGCAGGGCAGGACTGTATTAACACATGGACTTCCTATTGAGATCTCTTGCATTTCTCTTGTGAAACACCTAACAGCGTTGAAATGCAAAACTCTAAAACTCTTTGTTCAGAGATGCCTCTTATTAGACCAACTAAGAAATCGCCCAAAGGTTATCTTTCTTTGCAAGCTTTCGGGTGCACACACCTTTCTTCAGGCGGAGGGAATATTAAAGATGATAAAAGTCCCTTTAGGTAGAAAAGAAGCTTCGTTTCACAGGGAGGAAGCTGAGGGTGGATGCATGCTCCAAACAGTGTTGGCACCTGGTGGCAACCCTGAAAGGGTCTCAAGGTGCCCCAGGACGCAGCAGCATCCTCGCTGAAAGTCCCTGCTGCAACCCCCAGCCTTTGAAAATCTTAGGGGTGGGTAGAAGACAAACAAAATAAATCCCAAGTTTTTTTAAAAGCAGGACTCGTTTCCTCTCCCGGCTCCCCCTTTGCCTCCCTCCACTCAGGTGACATTTGGGGTGGGGGGGGGGCGCGCCCCGGGCGGTATGTTGGGGGGGGGGGGGGGGGGGGTTCCCACTGCGACCAAGAGAGCTGGTGACGGCCTTAAAAACGTGAAGGAAGGTTCAAATGCTCTGGAAACCCTGCATTCATCGCAGGTGATGCCTGGCAGGGCGCCCCACCTATCGCAAGGCTTGGCAATCCTGGACTCGCCGCGTGCGTGGGGGGGGGGAGTGAATGTGCCCCCCGCCCCCTTTTGAAAGGAGAACAAACACAGCTCCTCCCCCTCGGGAGAACCCTTGCACAAGCGGTGTGACGTCAGCGCGGGGCGCGGCTGCCGACGCCGCTCCGCGGGGAGCAAGGCGCACTGTGGGGAGAACAGAATGCAGAAGGTCTTTGAGTGTACGCATGCGCGCCGTCCCGGAGGGGGCGTGACCCCGCGGAGCTGGTGCGTGTCTGCGCGCACTTCTGTCACGGGGCCCTGCGGCGGGCGGAGAGCTCACCCCCACAACGCCTCTCGTCAGTCCCCGCCCCCCGGCCACTGGGATTGGCTGGCGCCTCTGCAACGCGCTTCGGGATTGGCTGTGCCGCGCTCTGCGCAGGCCTTGGGGTGGCGGCGGCGCTGCCGGCGTCCGGCCGAGGGAGGTGGGTGCGCTGGGATCGGGAGGGGTGAGTGTGGCTCGGTGGTGGGAGAGGGCGGGCGGGCTCGGGGCTGCGAGTCACCGCATCCCCCTTCCCTTCCATCTCCGGGTGGGGGCAGGGGCGCGGGCGGGTCTCGGCGGCGCGGCCTGCGCAGGCCCCGGTGGGGGGAGGGAAGCACGGGGCGGGGCCTACGGGGGCGGGGCCTCGAGGGGCCCGGGTGGGGGGCAGGGGTCCTAGCCTCCCCTTCCCTCCCCGCACCCCGTGAAGTGAGCTTATGCGTGCATATGCACACATATGTGCTTTAGGTAGTCTGTCAGGTGCGAGTCTGCCCCACCTTTGCTCAACCTCACGCCCATGTCCCTGCCTGTCTCTTGTGCTAGTTGGGGCGGGGCCTTCCTGCCTCGGACGGCCTTGGACCGCTGCCCGCCTAGTTGGCGGCTCGCGCACATTTGTCCGCGGGTTCCCTAGGGCCCGGTTCTTCAGGCCAGAACTGTCGAGCCCAAGCATCTTCAGATAACTTGAGATAAAGGGGTTCCTGTTGTTTGCCATCCTTTGAAGGGAGGTGGTTCCCCTTTATTGGTCTACTGGTACCACTGAGGCAGACGTAGTAGCAAAGAGGGGAATAAATATGAATTTGCACCCACTAGGCAAGCATCAGCATGGTCTGCATGAGCGTAGATTGGAACTGCCTGCTCGGGGGCCCCGGGGAGTCGGTGACAAAGTTTCTGTTCCCTTTCAGTGGTGCAGGACCAAGCCCCTGGGAGCTCTTTTCCACTGGGACTCAAAAGTTGTGGTGAATTGATTAAAGGGGGCAGAGTAAAAGCAAGCAAGTTAGACCAGTGTGGGGAGACTCTGATTTACATGTTGAGTAGCCTCTTAAGGGTACCTTACAGCTGAATGAGAGCTTCTATTTGGTGGTTTAACAACATACTATATGTGCCTTTATTTGATTAACTTTTAACTGAGAGACTCCAGGTAGAAATGGCCCCAGTGACATAACTTCAGACTCAGCTTCAAATGCTTACAGGATGATAGACCAGCTATTAAACATGTGGGAGTTTTGTCTTCCTCTGTCGGGGATGTGGCCCTCTATCCGGGTCCTCTTGAGTGCATGTTGACAATATTTTATAGAAGCAGGACGTTGGCTGTTGTGGTTCCCCTGCTTTACCTGTGGCAGGTTAGGGTGTTAGGTCTATGTTGTGCCAGGGTTGAGGGTAGTCTTATGTAGAGGTTAGATTATGGTTTGTATGGGATAGTTTGGATAGGGATGATCCTGCCTCAGTGAAGGGGTGATGACCTCAGGGGTCTCTTACAGTCCTACTTCTCTATGACTCGTGTTTGAAAACACGAGTTTTAGTTTCTTTATGTAAGCATACATGTACCATGCAATCTGTAAAGTTCTAAAACCAATTTGAAGAATTCAGAATTGTAAATTGGTTGGGGCCGTTAGTAAGAGAGGACATCGTTTTTCGAAAAGACATGAAGTTCAGTGACTTGCCTGTATTTAAGATGCTTTTCTGTATCCTTTGAGTGCAGACACAAGTTTTTTTGGGGAAGATCTTGAATTCTGTTAATAACACGTATGCACTTATCGGCAGGCTGGGCCTG